CATTGCTGATTTTTAAAATATATTTCATTGATTCAACTTACTATGGATTCGCCAACTGAAGATAATGTCAAAGCTGACTTGGTGAAGTTCAATCCTTTGACACGGACGATTACATTGACAACTGAGGAAGAGTCTGTAGACCCGGATGATCAAGACCTATTTGATGTGATGTCCCTCGCCTCTTCCGAAGAGGAGAAAGTCATAGACATGATCGACAAGGTGGAAGTGGAGTTATTCACACCTCCTAGCACCGAGACCTGCCGTGAAGAAGACAAAGAGGAGGTAGCTGATTCGGTTTGGAGTGAAGAAGCGCTCGATTCTTCATTTGACGGAATGACTAAAGAAATAATAGATGCTCTGCTGGAAATCGACCGTTTCAAAAAATATCTGATTACATGTTTTGATGATGAAGATCAAGATAAGGCTGCTCAATCGGTTCGTGGAAGTCAAAGTTCGGGGGTTGACGAGGAAGCTGGCACGAAGCTCACACGGATGGCTGTGTCGACGCACGATGAGAACCTATCTTCTAGATTGCTAGGGGAGGATGATGGTCGCGAATACGTTACTAGTAGGTCAGCGGAAACCTTTGATATCGCCGGAAGATCCCTAGATATCAACGTTGATGAAAGGAGCTGTGAAGAAAACGACGATTCTGTTTACTCCTGCGATTATGAAAGTTCAATGTTTCCTTTTGAACCAGAGACATCAAAGATAAAATATGAGGAAACAGGTGGCGACCTCGCTAAACGACATCAAGAATTCTTTATCGAACGAGACATACCTGCTCTATGGATGCCTTCAGAATTCAATGAGAAGTCATCCAGAGATGGCGAAATAAACGAGGAGAGTGATTCAGAAGCCTTTCCAAAAGAAGTGTCTGATGTAGAGGACGAGCACCGGATCTTCATACAGATGACGATGCCCGAGCAGACCTTGTCTTCTGGGATATCAGGAATCGGAGATGCCCAAGAACACATTATTCATATTTCTGCTAAGACCTTTTCTTTCGTCGGAAGTTGCAAGGAGATAAATGAAAATGTACCAAACTATGAAGAAAATGATTTTGACTCCTTCGGGGATTTCCATAAAGCCTTGTTGCCGCTCGAACAAGAAACATTGGAGCTAGAAGAGAAAGATACATTTGAAAGCCTTGATACTCAAACCTTAGACCTTTGCTTTCAACGCGAAGAACCTGCTATCTGGATGCCTCCAGAAGGCATTGATGGTGCCAATAAAGCTGGAGTAGAAAGCAGTGAGAATGCTTCGGAAGACTTCTCAGAAAGTGAATGCCGCGTACCTTTGCTACCTGCCAAGAGGAAAAGAAGAGTCGCCGGAGGTGGAAGTTACCGTAGGAGAAGTGGCAGTTTTGATCCAGAACCTTACAAAGACTGCCAGGAGACTTCTGAGACATATGAAGAACGCCCGGAGACTTCTGAGACCTACCTATAAAATGCTAACGATCTGCTAGGAGATGGCCCGACCCCTGGAGATCCTGGCCCAGTGTGGAGATCAAGACCTGACCGGAGTCCCATTTGGCGCCAGTTAAAGTATCGGCTTCCTAATTTGTTTCGCTTTTGTAAGTAAGAGTGATAAACTTAAGGTGAATTTTTAATAAGATTGTTGGATTTGAAATCCTAACAAAACATTGATGGAGTTCCAAGGCACATACATTACCAAAAATAAAAATACTCAAACTTAAAATGTAGAGGCCGGTGCAGGAAATATTCATCTGGTTTAAATTTCAGATCATCTAAAATAGAATTGAGTTGAATAGTCCATTTAAGAATAAAAAAAGGGAAATATATATTTTTTTAAATGATAGTGATACCTCAGACGCCATGTCTCTACTGCATTGCTACTAAATGAGAAAAGATATAATACATTATTAGTGTGAAATTCGAAATGGGCTGCACAGATCCATAAACCATGAAGATGACTTTATGCCGATAAACAGTCTGGTGCAACATTACAATGGCACGGTAGGTTAAATTGGAGAAACCGCTGGGAGGGTTCAGCACTGATGATCCAGGATCTCTCAGTATTTTATAGTAGCAGTAAGGGGGCAGTAGACAATTGTGGTTTATTTTTGAAAGTAGAAATTTAAGCATTAAAATAGTTCAACTTTCTTATAATAGAAGCGCCTCTAATTAATCCTGTTAATATTATGTAAGTAAAAATTGTACTTGCTGTTTGAGTAGAACAATGCTCGAGGCATGATTGTATTTCATGGACAAAACTCAAGGAAGTTGTACATTTTACCATGTATATAGGTATTCAGACAATAACTCTGAAAGATATTCGTTACACAGTGATATTTATTAAAGACACCCGATATAACCAAGTGTAAAAAAATGCCTCTCTCTACAATAAAAAAAAAACAACAACAGAGGACCGGCGGCAACAAAGACTACCACTTCTTTAAGTTTTCGTCAATGAGTTCACATATATAATTATATGTATTTCTATACTGTTCTCAAGCCTTATGCCCATAGCTCATTTAATTTTCCCAATCTTCATGGAATAAATTAGATATAAAATTACTGAATAAGAAAAATATAAAAAAGAGTACATCAATATCAAATAAAGATATTTTGACTTTTATAAATATATTTTCACGTGAAAAAATAGGAAAGACAAACTTCAGGATGAAACAGCAATTTATTTAATTTC